TTGTAATGATTAATTTCTAATAGGCCCTGTAATGTGGCTTGAAAATTTTATGCTCCCTCCATTCCACAAATAGAATTTTGTTTGATTTTTAATTCAAATTAAAAAAAATCATTAAATTCTGTGTCACCTATCTAGTTTTTATTGTATTTATTACATTTTCATCCAACATAAAAAAATCATTGAATTATGTGTCATATTAAGATTCTATATTTATATCTATATTTCCATAGAACAACATACTTCCAGTCATAAGCATCTACCTTAAAAACAAAAAATAATAATTAATCAATCATTTTTATTTTTTTAAAGATTGAGAAAATAAAAGTAGTTTTACTTTAAAAGCAACACCAAGAAAATTTGGAGAAAACGGCCTTTGCCATTCAACAGCGAGGAAAATAAAGCTGTCATAACTTTTTTCCTACCAAACACGTCCTTAGCTACAAGCGTAGTGTTTCTCCACGTGGTAAAGGTAAAGAGCACACAACACAGAAGGTTGTCTGTCTTCTTCTTCCCAAGGAAGCCTACCTTACTAAACAAGCCATGGTCCTGGGCTCTCTTCTTTCATGCCTAGGAAAATGTGTTCATGTGTCCTCCAGCGCATTGTACAGCACCAAATACCTTCACTGATGTGATGATGTCCTCTCATCTGTGCCATCCAGCTAAGATGAAGCTTCATGTGGGGCCTGATATCAGTGCATGGTGTGCTGGGCCCACTTGATCCTGATTGGAGGGTGCATGCTGATAGGGTAGGCGAGAGGAGTACGGAGAGGTAACTGTGTACATGTCGAAGAGTGGAGCTCTGCATGCTTCTCTAGCTTCGATGCAGAAGATGATGGATTGCCCGAGCAACTATACTAAACTAAGGCTGCCTGATTTCTTTCCACGTGCTCGACATTTGTTTTCGCGTTAACTTTTTTTCTTGCCGACGAGTCTTCAGAAACAATTTATTGTGATGTATTTATCAAGGTATTCACTGTTTAATCTACAGTATTAAATTGTCATTTTGACTGTTTATTTTAACTTAGTTTTTAATTATTTCAATACTAAACATATTTAGTATTTTGTTGAATTTCTCATGAACGAACGAAAATGGAGTATATACTGATAGGTTTTATATGTTCATCGATGTAGGGGGATATTTTTTTTATTTTAATTTTAAATTTAGTATGTGAAATAATTTATTGTATCTAATTAATGAGAAGTTATTTTTAAAATCATCTAAAAAAATCTCGCCTCACATGTAAATTTAAGATTTTATCCCGGTTGTTGTTTCAATTTATTGTACAGAAATAATTAAAAAGTCTTAAAATAATGTTGTTTTAGAGAAATTTTGAAATAAAATAATAAAATTTTAATTACTTTTTAACAAAACATTGTCGTTTTTGGATTAAAATTAACCTGGTGAGTCACCCATATTTTACCTGGTTAATCACAATTTAACTTAAAAACAAACTTAGCCGCGATTAAACTCCAAATTAATAGGTCACCGAATTAACCTATTGTCTAGTTTAATGACCATGGTAATCATGTTTCCACATTCACGAGTACCTCACATTACTGAATCTCTTAACAATTAAAGACGATGTTCGTGGGAGTTTTTAATTTTAATGGCTAAAAACATACACAAGAACTTGCTTATTATCAGCCAAATCCTCTTAAAACCATAGAGATACTGTGCATAGACCAGGACATCCTAGGCCTTCCATGAAAAAATAAAATAATTATCTTGACGTTACTTCACAATTGATGGTCACCAGCTCTCAAAAATCAATTAGATAAGATAAGAACCTTTTAATTACGACAAGAATTGTTTCAACTAGGGTCTGGTTCTTTCTTAAATCATCTTATTTGGGCTTAAAGGGGTAATTAGCAATTGACTCAGGATTTGAAAGAAAAGGTGTAGATATATATATATATATGTATAAACCATAAAGTTTGGTAGGTTGCTCGTCTTAAAAACTTTTCCTGATATACACACTAGCCTGGTAAGAACTTAGGGATCATTTGCTTCTCTGGTTTTAGGCAAAATTCCTCACTGCATTTATGTGTTCATCTTAGTTATTCAACGGTCTTGTTGCAGGATGTATTATTTTATTTTAAGTTAAATCAAATACAATCAAATTATTTTTTATATTTTTAACTAAAATTGACCTGTTAAAACTGGTCGAGTTTAATAATAAAATGTCCTTCTAAGCTACTTAATTTTGTTTTACTCTATCTTACTAATAAATATATTATTAAATTTGTTTAATCTTGCTATGTTTATATTTTTTTTTTCAACCTTATCGAATTGGAAAATTCTGTTCAATGCCTCACTATACAATGTGGTACAAGTTTCTCAAGTGGGTCTTGGACAATACTTTAATAAATTGTTTCACACAAGGATGAAATTGAATAATTGGTGAAGACAAGGTATTAAAAAAAATAGTCTTCCCTTGATTTTATAATTTTCCTTTTTTTAGTTTATTGCCACAAGAGTTGCAACACACCACTAAATGTTACAGCCCGACTAATATTAAAATTAATAACTCCTTGTTCATCATAGAACACCCTAAATCTCCATGAATTGTTCATCATAATAATCATAAAATATTAAAATTATTGGTCCATGAATTGTGTAGGAACATGGAAGCAAACAACGCCAGGACTCGACCAATTAGGGCTCGTGTTTGGTAAAAATAAAATAAATAAATCACGATTATAATAAAAAAAATAAGTCCCATAAATCCCACGAGCAGGATATTGGTGTAAAGGTTTATAGACCAATAATGCTTTGTATTTTTCGACATAGTTTTACGAAGGCAGCATACATGATGATGGGTACTAAGTAGTTGTTTAATAAATAATTTAATAGATTCATAATCCATTATTGCAAATTATTAGTATTAAACATCATTGTTTACACTAACAATATTAATCCTTGTCTACAAAAATCCTGTCATCAATCGTTTCTTCTCCATCACCACACCCACATCATGTGCTTGATTTCAATAATTTCAAGCAATTGCAAACAATCTGTCTCTCATGTATTATCATTATTAATTATTTCGATAATCTTTTAAAAAACAATGCGTAATTACATTGAAAATAAAACTATTCAATCGATAAAATTCCATGATCTTGATTAAACCCATTGAAGATGAAACAAAAATAATTAATAATGTTAAGAAATTCAACAACAACGTAACCAAACTATCTATACAGATAGAGACCTCTAATAATTGATATTCAAAAGTGCAAGACAGGAGAATATGTTGACATTAGCCCTCCCCAGCACAAAAAAAAAAAAGAGGTGTTGCTGAAATTCATTGAAGTCATTTCACAATACAAGTTAATTTTCTCACTAATCATCATAGCAATGAAACCTAGCCCGTGAGGATTAGACAAGTTAACAAAGACTAATCCATGTTAATTATATTGATTTACCTTTTGAAAAATCAAATTAATTTTTTGGCCCGGCGGTAGGTTCATACATTGGATTCATCAATTAATCTACATCAACTCCATTTTTATTTTTTTTTATTTTGACACTCGATCTAGAAGAGAGTGAGTTTGTCATCTCTCGAGCCGACCGACCTATCAAGACTGTCTGGTTGTACAAAGAATTATTTTGTGGGGTATTATTTTCCATATTAGTCGTTGTGATTGACAATTTTTTTTTTATCCTTTACACACGGTCCGAAAAGGTTAGAAAAATGAAATGAAAAAAAAAAAAGAGGAGGAAAAAGGAAACAAAAAACTGATAAAGCAAGGTTGGTGTCGAGTCCACATGTTTATATTTTAATGGACTTGCCCATGATCACTATTTCAAGATTATTATATCGAACACGCACCAATTTTATTTTATTTTTGTATAATTTCATAATACATCAAGTATTCCATCCCATCATGCTGAGTTCAATGGTTCATCCAGTTTACAATCATTTGTTTAAGATTCCTAAACTAGTCAGAGTTCACATTGCCTTCTATTATACATTTGTTTAAGATTCCAGTTTACAATATAAATTTTTTA